AAAATTTTTTATAAAAAATAAATTAAAAAAATAAATAAATGGGTTAGTAGGCTGGCCTATTTAACCTGTCAAGTCTTAAGGATTGGATTAAAATTTTTTTAACTCATATAAAAATAAGTTGAATCCAATCCAACGTGCATTTCTCTAAACTTATGTGAATTGGGTTGATTCACATTCTCACCTCTAGATGTAAAGTTTTAAAATTTATACATCTTACTACCTAATCCACATTCTTACCTCTAGGTGTAAAGTTTTAAAATTTATACATCTTTCTTATAATTCCTCCAAAATGAAATATTGCATTTGTACACCCTCACCCTAGAGTTGCTCCACGCCACTGAGTCTATACACTATAGCCTTTATTCATTGCTTCAAAGGTTAATAGCCCTTCAAAAGCGTTACTGGCTTGTTGCTAATAGACCCTTACTTTTGTTGGTCTTTTGTATTTGTCCCTGAGTTGAATTGTCTCGTTGGGGTTTAGGTTTTGTCCTTTCAATATCATTCTCTTTCACTGCTGAACGCATGGGAAAATTGCAGGGGAAAAAAGAAACTTTGATTTCTCCCCTGTTAGGTTTAAATTCAGAACTTGGGCTTTCACCAAGAAATCTGAGAACTTTTTTTGTAAAACGCGTATCAACGCGAAGCTAATTAGGGAAAGATTTATTTCGCTTTTACTTCCAACCAACTTTTATCCTCACCCGAGGCTTGGATCAACTTGTTATTAATTTAATTTAATCATAAATCTCAAGTTCAAGTTTCAAATATATAGTAGTGATTAAATTCTCGATAAAAAAAAAATATGCTTTTTAAAGCAGTGCCGCAAGTTGCTGATTAATCAGTTTAGATTAAAGACATGAAATATCAATGCAAAAGAAAAAAAAAAATTCTACATGTTGTAAAATATTTACTAAATAATGCAACCAATGGAAGGTGAACAAAACTTTTTTATTTTATATTTAATGATTAATTGAATATAATTTTGGAGTATCTTCAAGAGAAAAGAAAAATAATAATCTTACGAATATATAACATTAATTGTGATATTGATAAAGGTTGACCCAATTGTCAGGTATTTGACTCATAATCCAAAATGATCATGACATGAGTTCAAATGTTATTTGTCAATGTAAGAATCTCAATAATTTATAAATATTTCTTTGAGCACTTTGAGTTAAGAGCCATATCTTAAATTTAATGAAGTCCTAGAACTCAAGTAACCTGCCTATATTTTGTTTACAAAAACAATTGACATTAGTTTTGACTAAATCTTTTAATAACAACGTTTGATAGTGAGTGATGTCATAATAATAGTTAGTGGCCACTAGTAGACATTTAAAGGCAAATTTTATTGTTGCTAAAATCAATGCGGTGAAAGATTGTGAAAGTTCTTTCTTCTCACGTGCATTGAAGTTTATAAAGTCAAATGCTTGGTTGAAGAATAATAAAAAAAGAAAAATTACGCATAAGTCTCTTAAAACAGACTTATTTATTAATAAGTGCTGTGAATTTTGAAATTAGACTTAAATTCTTTAAGACTTAAGTATAATTCAAAATTAAGTTATAAAGATAATAATATTTTTATTAAATATTTATTACATCAATGAAATAATTAATTTACAACTATAATTTTAACTTTTTACAAACTATAACTTCATATATTTAATAGTTAAACAATCATGTGTTACTAACAAAATTTAATATTAATTATTTACAATATTTTAGCAGTAATTTATATCTATAACTTCATTTTTTACAACTATAATTTCACATATTCAATAATTAAACTAATCAATTTAATTATTAGATATATGAAGTTATAGTTGTAAAAAGTTAAAGTTATAATTATAAATTATTAATAAAATAGTTGTAAATTATTCGATTGATGTAATGTATATATGTTTAATAGAAATATTATAATTTTTTTATCTTAATTTCAAATTATATTCAGGTCTCAAGGAATTGAATTATATTTTATGAATTTTTTGAAATTTATTTATATATAAATTTGCTCTAAAACACCTATATATAATTTTTGCACTGAAAAATCTATTGAATATGAAGTGACATTAACAAAAGTGTATTTGTGTGATTAAGGAGGAATATACTTGATATAATTTTTTTTGGGTATAAAGGTTTTGTTTTGTTGGGCTACTTGGAGTTATGATGGGGACCCCATCGTGGCTACCCCATGGGGCAAGCATGTGAAGTCCACACCGTATGTCTGGCGCTCCATTAAGACAATGCTTCCAATAGTAGAAGCTTGCCGCTCATTTAATGTTGTGTTTTTTTTTTTTTTGGGTCAAACATTTATCATTGTGTTGACAACACTAGAATATAAGAAAACTCAAAATAACATGCGAGAGATGTTAAGGGTGTGGTTTCTGTTTTTCCTTCGTTTTTAAAAAAACTGTTTTATAATACAATTTTTAGAATTGCTTTTCAAAATAAAATAAAGTAAAATTTATTTAGTTAAGTTAATTTAAACATAAATTTTAGAGTAAAAAATAGGCTGATGGCATAATAATGGTCATTTATAATAAAAATTGATTAAGTTAACTATATTTTTTTATTATTTTGAAAACAAAGTTTTGTTTTTAAAAACAAAAAAATGAGAACAAATTTGAAAACAAGTAAATTAAAACCATTTATCCAACTTAATTTTTTTAATTTTTGTTTTTTTTTAAAATGGAATATAGTTTTTGAACCAAACAAGCCCTAAATTATCCAACAAGAATCTCACCAAGTTCAAGAATACATTGATGTATGAGAGAAGGGTCTCTCTATTTTTTTATCATCATTTTTCTCTCAATTTCTTAATTATGATCATTGATATTGTTATATTAAATGAATTTATTTTAGTCATGGATTTGATAAATGGTTATGATTGAGAAGTTAAAGGAAAAGGATGATAAAAAGGGAAAAAGAAGAAACCCCTCTTCCATTGAGGTACAATGGCACGGACAAGACACTTAGGTGAGGAGGTGCAAAATACTTAAAGTTAATAATAAAGACTGCAAAGCATTAAAATTTTAAGATAGATGGTTTCAAATATCAAGAGTTTAAATATAAAATACTAAAATTTATTTCTTTCATTAAAAAATATAAGGTATTTTTTGAGGAGTTGGATGTTAAAAAATGTAAGGCATTTTTAATCTTTTGAGATGTAATTATTATCTTTTTTAAAAAGTGTCCCTATTGATAATGACTTTATATTTATTGTAGGGTATTTAATAGGAATAAATATGAAAAAATAAGGTTAGTTTGAAAATAAGTAATTATTTATTAAAATGAGATTCAATTAAAAATGTCTTATATTTTAAAAATATATAACATTCCTTAAAATGAGTAGTGCATTAGTTCCTGTCAAATTAGTGTCAACGAGAAAGAAAGGAAGGAAGGATAACTGGAATCAAACCAAAAATTTAGACCACAACTTCATGAAGCATATCCAAGAGAGCAGTCTACGTTTGAGCTAGCATGTACAGACCAACAAACCAGCATTTACGATCCCTATCTGATCTACTTTTTTTCAATACGCAAAAATTAAGTAAGTTAGAATTTGGAGGTTATTAAAATCAAAGCATGCCTTCATGACTTAAAGTGCATTTAAAGAGGTATTGCTAATTCTAAACTATATATATTAATTTAGAAAATGAAGCAAAATGCGTGTAGTAGGACAGTTAGTTATGAAGATACAATTAAGACAAGGCAAAAAGTTGAAAAACTCATTCAATTTGATCAAGTCTAACATAACCCGGTTTGGTCCAAACCCCAAAAAGAACTTGGAACAAATAAGACCAAACCAGACCTGGTGCTCTATTTTTCCTCCCTCTTAATTTTATTATATCCAAAAGTCTTAAACGCTACAATGTCATCTTTCCACTTCACTCATCTCCATTCATCTTCAACCTCTCATCACCTTTTCCCTGACTTTGACAATGGTGAAGAGCCACGACTAGGAAATAGACGATGAGGATGATGTGTGGAACAATGGAAGGGGGTGAAAATGGGGCTTTAATCATCCATATCCAGTGATGTTGTTGATCTAAAAGTCTATTGATTTTGTTAGCGGTGAGAGATGGCTGTGGATCTATGCTTTTTCCTCCCGCCCGCTATCAATCTATGATTATCTTCGTCCTTGATATTGATCTAAGCTTTTTCCCCCCATATCATCGTTGATATGTTGGTGGATTTTTTTTCTCCCTCGCTCTTTTGTAACTCTATTCATCAATCATTAAAAGAAAAAAAAAACAAAAGGGAACATAATTAAGTAGACTGGTCTTTCATCTTGGCAGACTAAATCCAATCCATTTTAGTGTCGACTTTACTTTTAGCTAGACCAAACCTTATCTAGCAAAATCTAGCCTAGAGCATTTTTAGACAGGACATTGAGTTGATATTAAATCTAGTCTAATTTGGTATTTTTATAGCCCTAGATACAACATGAAAATATGGAGATTTTTGGTCAAGTTACAATAAATTCTATCATATTTATGCATTTATGTGATTTATGTTGTCTATGTAGGTTTTAGCATGGTGGAATACAACAATTAAGAAAAAAGATACAAATCAAGCAGCTGAATAGTTTCAAATATGATAGTGTTTTGAGCCCCACTTTTTAGTATGAAGTTCAATTGAGCATATTTATAATTCTTGCTTAAACTTACTTTTAAAATTCATAAATGTCTTTTAATATTAATTCACATCAGTAAGAATGTTATAATTTTACAAGCTTTTCTATCAATGAGATTTTTACAGTTAAATTTTCACAATTTATCTTTTAATATCTATGATTGAGCTATTATAGCAACTAAGTAAAGATACTTTTGTCCATCAAATTTTTTTTTTTGGACAATTAAGAACTTTGGACTTCCGTATGATTTTGTAAATTCGGACTTATCAATCATCATCTTCTTTCCAAAGAACTGTTAGGTCATTTTCTCTTAATTCGGGGTCTTTATGAATAAATAAAATTAAATATGAGTAGTCCACTTTTTTCCTCTCTCCTTCGGACCGTTGTCTCTCCCTCTGTCTGCAGGAAAACCCTCTAAAACCTAGCAATGGCGGTCACAGCACTTTCCGAGCGCCAAGAAATCCAGAGGCTTCCCCAATATAAATACGTCGATGCAGTTCGCTGGCTCCCATCGTTATCTCCATTCGATCGATTTGCGGTTCTTGCTTCATTTGATTCCGATTCTGATGCTTCTTCCATCGAAATCCACTCTTTCAAACCAAATCCAGCATCCTTAGAACCTCATTCTTCGTGGGTTTCAACTTCCAGAGTCTCCTCACTCAAAACCTCACAGTTCCTTCAGAAAACGGTCATTGCTGCCTCAACTTTTGCTGGTTCTCTCCACTTCCTGTTCTCTAACTCCACTGACGCGTCTCTGGAATCAGAAGTTTCAGTGCCGGAGAAAGAACTGCATCGGGGACCAATTTCATCCGTTGATCTAATGGACGGTGGGGTGGAGTGCGTGAGTGTAGCGGAAGATGGGAGGGTGAATTTGGTCACTGTTGGGAATTCAAATGTAAGTTATCGTCGGGTTTTTGATAGCAGTGGCCTGGTGTCCTACACGGCAGCTAAGTGGGCATCGCCGGTGGAGTTTGCCACTGGTGGATATGGATTCAGTCTTCATTGGTGGGACCAGAGAAAACCCGGCGGGCCGGTTTCGCAGTTTAAGGGTAACTGGTGAGCAAATTTTTCAGTGGCCTACTAGCATTTTCTATAGAGGGTCATTATATCCTCCCTGCATTTCTTTTTCTTTCTGAACAGCATGCTGAATCATTTGGTAGTCTTGTAGTTGTCTGCGTACTATGAAAAAAGGAGCATCTATAGGCAAGCAATTATAATTATGATAAGCCACATTCCCGTTATATTAATTAATATTATCACTACTTCGTAAATTGCTTCTGCTCTTGAATAATATCTAGAGATGTGCTAATAAACCTTCCTGGTTTGGTACGATGCTAATGCGTTTGGTGAGCTTGTAGGAAGTTTGGGGCTTAATTATTGTTGTGTAATGTACCTGGACATATCTACGAGTATGAAATCTGTCAAATTCGTTTGATATGATATACCATTATTACAAATATAAGCATATTATATCTGTTAAAACTATATACCATTGTAAGCTTACGTTTGCGAAGATTTTCACTAGATGGTCGTGTTACAGGGATCAAAAAATGACTGCTGGGATTGTGCACTCTGTTGACATTCATCCAGCACGAAAGCACACATGCCTAGTAAGATGGTTATCTTATTTTTCCCTTATTTCTTGTCGTGTTAAGTCTTCTATGATGATCAATGTGAGCCACTATCTAATGTTCACTTCTGAATGATCTTGTTGCTTATATTGGAGCGTTGAACATCGTTGATTTGGTTTTGCTTTGTTCATTCCCTTGGCTATTTGCCTGAACCTTGTGATACTTTCTGCAAGGTTGATTGATGCTCTCCCTTCCTCATTTTCAGTCTTGACTTCCCCTCAGATTCTTTTTTTTTCTTTAATATTATTCCTTAAAAAGGCCTTTCTATTTTTTGTTGGGCGTCATTTTCATTATTTAGTGTTTAAATACATATTATTCTGCAAACAGCCATTTTTTAAAAAAAGGGGCAGTAACCTGGCAAGTTTTCAATTACGAGTGTCATACTGCACCATGGCAATTACGATATGCTTCTATGTCTCCATTTTAATCTATCTATTGCTTTGATTTCACAGCAGACTCAGAAATTTCTGTAATAAATTTAAATGTCAGATATATTTTTTTTTTTTTGTCATTACTTCTGAGTTCTGACATTTTTGGAATTATAATTTTTTTTTTTTTTTTTTTTACAGGCAGGTGGCTCCTTAGGTACTCTTTTTGCTTGGGATCTCAGGTGGCAGCAACAACCTATTATTCTTTCAATGGCAGGGACAGGAGCTGGCGACAACGAAGTCCAGTCAGTATCCGAAAGTGAGGTTTGGGAGGTTCAATATGATCGTTGCACCAAGTCTAAAATGTCATCTACCCAGATCTTACCCGCCATGATCTGCTCAGAGGATGGAATCCTTGCTGTCATCGAGCAAGGTATGTATTTAAGTTGCAACATCTTAAAATGCTAATTGATCAGGAACACAAATATTTTACATTGTTATATTTATGGAGTGGTTGCGTTTTATATTCCAAAGAAAGTACTTGAAACTTAAACTGGGATTGATTTTTATTCATTTATGGTGTTCATTTACATTTGCATAGGTGAGGAACCTAAAGAGCTGCTAGCAGAACCCTGTTCAATAAATTGCTTTGATATTGACCGGCATAATCCATCGGTAAGTTATGGCAGCCTATATGATTTTCTGGAGGATATTATTTCAGTTTTCTACTAAATTGTTTATCCAACGGAAGCGAGAGAAGAGCACAAAGAAGAAGGTAGAGAATTATTTTCTAATGATTTTAATAAATCGCCTGTGCAGGATGTGATTTGTGGTTTGGAGTGGGAAGCAGTAGCCATATTGACAAAACAATGATGCTCAAACTTCCAATCTTCTATGGGTTAGAGTTGTGATTGGAATCCGTTGTATAACGCTAGGTTAAGTTTTCCATGAAAAATTGGATGGAAATGAAGCTGACCCAGTATGACTCTGCTGCAATGTTCAGTTCTTTTACTGAGCATTTGTAAGGAAATAGATTTTTGATGTTTTTTCCTTCCCGTTTTACAATGTATGGAGAAGTTGAATCACGTGGAATCTTCTTGGCAAAAAAAAAAAAAAAATTTGTGGATTTTATGGAGAAACACAGATTACATTATGGGAAGAATATAAAAAAGCAAATAGCCCTGCTAGCACTCAAAAAATGAATTCAATATAATATATAATGCATTAGCAGCTTGTGAGAAGCCAGATCCAGAGAGCCTGAGAGGCTCATGGCATCGATGTTGTTGATGTAGATATATGAACCAATGTTTCTAAAATTATGGGGAAAAAACAAAAATAAATATACAGTTAGATAAATTACTTTTTTTGGGAATTTTTTTTTTAAATTTCTTCATGGTATCCCCTAGCATGGGTACTAGAGGCTAATCCCTCGAGGCACTAGGGATCCATTTAAAGGGCTAACGTTTGCCAACGGATGTTTTTTTCATACACATGATCTAAGCCTCTGGTTACATGCTCAAGACACCCAGAGAACTTGCCATCTGTGCCACACTTCGATAATCTTGTTTCGCGTGCAAATTAGTGCGGCATTTTTTATAATTTTTAACGAGCGTGACATTGATTAATATAGAATCATGAAAATACAACTCATTTCTTGGGTGGAAATTTGTGTCTAGTTAATATTAGGTAAGGTAGTTTTTGGAGATTCAAAAAACACCATAAAGGCACAATGAATCAACATAGATAATTTAAACTATTCCATTTCATTTAAAAATGTAAGATATTATTACACATATAATAATATTTACTAAGTTTACTTTTCTTTTTCCACGTTAAAATTGCATAACTCAGTTTGTATGAGTTCAAATTTAGTACTAACTTTTTTAAAAAAATAAGTCAGATGTAACAAGCATTTTTTATTGTCTTTACACACCTCTCACTAATGACTAGCCTAACATCTCCTCACCCTCTTTTTATAATTACTCACCCTCCTCTTTTGCAAGCATATCCTCCACTTCTAGTGATAATAATTTGGCCCAATTTGATAAGCTAACTTGAATGATTTTAGTTTAAATATCTAAAATTTTTATTATTAATGAAATAAAGTTAACATTAGATAAAAATTGAAAGTATTAATTTTTTTAAAATAAACATTGAAATTGATTATAAAAATAAAATAAAATAATATTTAACAATTTGAATATTTGGGCCATTTTAAAATTATAAAAATTAAGTTAAAATAATCAAAATTTAAAAAATGAATTCAATTAAAAATATAAAAAGTGAGTTATAAAGTTCATATCAACATTATAAGTATTAAATGATAAATTTTTCCTATAGGATATGCATAAGAAGTGGTGGTGCTACTTGTAAGAGGGGAGGAGAGTTATTGAGAGATAGAAAATGGAGAGAAATGGATCACTAGGGCGATCAAAAATAGTAAGAATGCCTACCACATCCGACAAACAATTTTTCTAATTATTAATATAAAATTCAGTTTCACACAAGCCAAATTATATAGTTCTCACACAATAAAAAAAAAACAAAATGTTGAACTTGGTCTCATGGAAGCCAATTTTTAATTTCTAATATTTTGGTAAATATTTTTTAAAATAGCCCAACTATTCAAATTATTAAATATTATTTTATTTTAATTTTTATAATCAATTTCAATGTTTATTTAAAAAAATTAATATTTTTAATTTTTATCTAATTGTAACTTTATTTTATTAAGAATAAAAATTTTAGATATTCAAATTAAAATCATTCAAGCTAGCATATTAAGTTAGGCCAAATTATTAGCACTAAAAGTGGATGAGATGTTTATAAGAGAGGAGGGTAAGTGATTGTAAAGAGAAAGTAATGAAATGTTAGGCCAGTCATCAAGGTGATGAGTGATTGTTATTAGGGAGAGGTGCGTAAAGACAATAAAAAATGCCTACTACATTTGACACATTTTTTTTTTAAATTGTTAGTACAAAATTTGGACTCGCACAAACCAAGTCATACAACTTTGGCATGGAAAAATAAAAAGTGAACTTGGTATTAATAAAGCAAACTTTCAATTTATAATATCTTAATAAATATTATTAAATGTGTAATATTTTGGTAAATAATTTTTTTTTACAACATGCCAGTCAATTTGCCCATTTTGTCTTGGCTTGATTATTGGAGTAATTTTTTGTGCAATTTTTTTCCACGTTGCTAATCAATTTTTTTTTTCAGAATTAAATTATTGCGATTATTTTTTTAAGAAATAACTAATTAAGGATCAAAAGTAAGAATGTAAGCATATTTAAATCCCCTTACATATGCATCTCGATGGATTATTACTTCAAGGTTTTTGTTAATTGGAATTATAAAGTTTTGTATCTTCTATTCTTTTTTTTTTTTTCAGTTGCAATACTCTACAACAAATACAACAATAACAAGTTTTATTTCAATAGATGAAATCAGCTATATAAATTACATGATATCATTATGCTCTTTTGCCAATTTAAAAATATTGTTGACTAAAAAGTTTATTCCATAACTTTTATTAATGTTTTTTTTAATATTTCTTCACTCCTCTTTGCAAAGTTTAATTTAATATTATTTGTTTCGTTCTTTTCATTAGTGTCTTTTATGATTTTTTTTATATATATCCAAATTATTTTAAATTATTTTTAATCATTTTTCTTTCAATAAATGCCATACTCATTTTTTCTCATAATAAATATTTTCTCTGAAATTGCTGAGAACTTACACTATAACAAATTATTAAGAAAAATATTTATATAATTAATTTTATAAATATTTTAAAAATATATTTTCAGTCAAATTAAGATATGTAGAGATATATATTATTTATTTTATAAAAAAATATTATGAACATGTTAAGTATTTAAATCATTCCTTTCAACTAATAAATGTGTGTATTAAAAGAAAAAAACCAGAGATGTCCTGGCCACAAAAAAAAAAAAAACACACACACACACACACACACACACACACACACAAGGGGTAGAGTGAAGTTCATGACCCAGCCCGGGTAACGGATAGCTGCACGGGCACCACAAAGCACAACCTCGCCTTTATCCACAACCCCAAGTTGTGACTCAAGACGTAGCAGAGCCTCCCAAGAACCACAGCCATAAAAATGGCGTGCGCGACGGCGACGACGATATTGTCGTTTGGTTTCAGGTTTCCTCCGCCAAGCTCTCCTTCCTCTCGTGTCTCTTTCGGTTCAGTTCACTTCGCTCCGTTCAACAAGACGAAACTGACTTCGTTGAGCAGCATTTCTGGGTGTGGCTTAATTTTTCCCCTAAAGCAGTGTACCGTATCTCCTCTTTCCCAAATGATTCGTCCCCTCACCGTTGTATCCGCTAAAGGCTACAAAATGAAAACTCACAAGGTTAATTCCTTTGTGTGTTTGTGGGTGCTTCATATTGTGAAATAGGATTTCCTGATGTCACTTTTTTCGTGGTTATATTGTAAGGAAATTGAATAGATTTTACCTTTCGCTTCTGTTTTTCTTTCAATATTGGGAAGTTAAATGCTTTTATTTGTTGAATTTTATCTGAATTTCGTTAATAGGCATCAGCCAAGCGATTCCGAGTGACAGGTCGAGGAAAAATAGTGCGCAGGAGGGCTGGAAAGCAGCATTTGCTGGCCAAGAAGAACACAAAGAGAAAATTACGACTCTCGAAAATGGTAAGATCTCTTTTTATCCATTCATTCATCCATTCATTTTTTTTTTTTTGGGTGAAAGGTTGGATCATTTTTTAAGTATCTTTGATATCACATAAACCTGTTTATTTGAATGTTTTTTTTTCATTTTCTTGTATGGGAAGTTAGTGCTTTTCGCTTAGGATTCTTTTCATTCACACTAATTTCTGAAGGTAAATGCTTCTTTTGATAGTCAAACATTACTTTAACACTATGGCTTGAATGCTTCTTCTGGGTCTGACGTTCCGCATAAATTTACTCGTCTCAAAGCGTGGCAACTTGCAACGTGAACTTAAATCACTTAAAAGGCATTATTAGGGGCATGATTTCTTTGACCATAGTTTTATCCAGGAAGCAACTTCAAAGGTGCAGAATCCAGTATCTGTATAGTATTGATACAATCCATTTAGTTTTTTAGACCGTGTGCTCTTGTTGTTTAACTATTTTTTTGGTAATTTCAATATGACTAGAATTTGGACTTGGATCCTTCAGCCTTAAAACTAGTACTACTGAGCCAAAAATCATTGGTAGATGTTCTGCTACTTTGATTGGCTTCTTCCTTACTGATTTCTATATGTGCTTGCAATCTGACTTTGTTTCTTGTTTATCTTGGGGTGCTATTTTGTTTGTTTTATTGTTTCCTGGTTGGTTGTTGAAAGCTTCTCTCCTTTATGCATGCGGAATTGGGGATGGCTTTTGGTTTTGCACATAGAAATAAATTGTGGAAGCTATGTTTTATTTTCACTCCTTACTGGTTTTCCCATGCTTTATTTGATTTTATTACATTTGTAATTTGTGGTAAGGTTTAACTAGGGTTATTTATCTGTCTGTCCATGTATTTATTTTTAGCGTTGATTCGTTGCTGCATAAAGGCAATGTTAATCTCATTCTCTAGTAATTTTGATAAAAAGTTCTTATAATTACTTTCAAAGCTGTCAGGAGTTCACCCTATTGGCTTTTCTGTGAAGGAGGTCATTTGCAAAGTAGGATGTGTCTTTTTCTCTCTATATGGAGAGAAAGGAAGTGATGCTTAAAATATAAATCTTCGACAAAAAACTGATATTTTAGTTACATCTATAAATAATCTGTAAATTGTGATCTGCAGTGAAGCCTGATCAATTGAACAAAAACATTAATTATCACATAATTGAGTTGGGTTCTTATTTCTTATTATTGGCTTGCCCTGAAATTGTTATTTTTCATCTTTATCAAGTTCATACCAAGAATGGAATTTTTTGTGTCTTACAAAGAATTGATTGTGGATTTCTCAGGCTAGATAGTGTAACCTCATACGTGCTTATCTGAGAACCTGAAGTATAGAAACTCATCTAAAAAGGGGGAGGGGAGCAGGGCTTTATAAGTTGTATGCCTGGGGACA